TTCTCTCTCCAGGAAACACATTTAACTAAAAAAAATAAACATATACTGAAAGTAAAAGCTTGGAAAACAATCCTACAATTAAATGGACCAAAAGAGAAGGCAGGAACAGCTATTCTTATATTAGATAAAATAGACTTCAAATAAAAAATATGTAAATAGAGACAAAGAAGGATACTGCATTATGATTAAAGGTTCAGTACATCAACAAGATATAACACTCATGAACTTATACTCACTAAATTAAGGGGCACCAGCTAACAAGCTCACAAAAAAATAAATAAATAAAACAGGAGTAAACACAAATAAATAGGACCATAAACGAAAAAGAAGTAATTACAACAGACTCCACTGAAATCAAAAGAATAATCATAGATTACTATGGACATTTATATGCACAAGTTCAACAATCTAGAAGAGATGGACAAATTCCTAGAACATTACAGCCATGCAATACTAGATAAAGAAGAAATAAAACACCTAAACAGACCAATTAAAACCAGCAACATTGAAACATTAATCAAAACTCTCCCCCAAAAGAAAAGCCCAGTCCCAGATGGCCTCACAAATGAATTCTACCAAACTTTCAGAAATGAACTAGTACCTATCTGACACAAAGCTTTCAAAAAATTGAGAATGAAGGAATATTACCAAATACATTTTATGAAGCCAACACTACACTAATACCACCACCAAAGACAACACACAAAAATGAAAACTCACTACTGCACACTGATGCAAAAATTCTTAACAAAATCTTCACCAACAGAATCCAACAATGCAACATAAGTATAAAACACCACTATCAAGTGGGATTTATTCCAAGGGTGCAGGATGGTTTAACACCTAAAATTAGTTTATGTAAACCCAACACATCAGCAAAAAGAAAAAATAAAAACCATATGGTCATATCAACAGATGCTGAGAAGTCATTCAACAAAGTTCAATATCCATTTATGATGAAGGCCCTAGAGTTTCCAGGATAGATGAAATATAACTTAAAATGATAAAGCCATATATGACAAACCCACAGCCAATTTTATTCTCAATAGTGAAAAGCTGAAAGTCTTTCCTTTAAGATCAAGAACAATACAAGATGTCCTCTCTCGCCACTACTCTTCAACATACTGGAAGTCCTCGCCAGACCAAGACAAGAAAAACACATACAAGGAATCCAAACAGGGAAATAAGAAAACTATCACTTTTTGAAGACCCTATAGCAATATGCAAAGAAAATTCTAAAAACTCCTCAGAAAATCTATCAAAACAATCTACCAGTTTAGTAAAAGTAGCAGGATACAAAAAGAATACACATAAGTCAGTAGCCTTCTTATATACATACAACCATTCAGAAAAAGAAATCAAGAAACCATCCCTTTTATAATTGGTAAAAAAAATCAACTGCTTGGGGTTATACCTAATGAAAGAGGTGAAGGACCTATACAAAGAAAATTATAAAACATAGTTAAAAGAAATAGAAGAAGACACAAAGAAATGGAAAGATATCCTCTGCTCGTGGATCAGAAGAATTAACGTTATCAAAATCATGATCCTACCTAAAGCAATTTGCAGGTTTAACACAATTCCAAAAAATCTCAATGACATTCTTCAAAGAAGAAAACAAATATTGATGAAATTCATATAGAACCACAAAAAAAAAAAAAAAAAAAACCCTCGAAAAGGAAAATCAGGATACTGACTAAAACAATGGATAATGGAGGTGTCACAGTCCCCTATTTCAAACTACATGGCAAAGCCATAATAATTAAAACAGCATAGTAATGGAATAAATACAGAGACACAGACCAGTGCAACAGAATAGAAAGCCCAAAAATAAAGCCACACATATATGGACAACTAATCTTTGACAAAAAACAAACAAACAAAAATATATGCGATGGAACAAGGATAGTTTGTTCAATAAATGGTGGTAGGAAAACTGGACCACCACATGCAAAAGAATGGAACTAGACCAGTACCTCACACCATGCACAAATATCAACTCAAAATGGATAAAAGAACTGAACATAAGGCCTGAAACTATAAAATATACAGAAGAAAATATATAGGTGAAACACTACATGGCATACATCTCAGTAACATCTTTAAAGACTCATCCCCCAAAGCAAAAAAAATGTGAGGGAAAAGATAAACAGCTGGCACTACATGAAACTAAAAAGCTTCTGTGCAGCAAAAGAAATATTAACCAAAACAAAGAGACACCCTACTGATGGGAGAAAATTTTTGTACTCCATACAACTGATAAGGGATTGATCGCAAAGATATACTGTGAGCCTCAAGGGAGATCTGAGACCTGGGGCGCTGATTGCGAATGACACACCAGACGGGGGACTGCTGTCAGGTACAAGCAGTGATTCCTTATTTTTCTCAGCATGGTTATATAGGAATCGTGAACAAGGACATCTATGTTTTATCATAAGTCAGGGAAAACAAAATGACCTTTCCTCACACGGCATGTACAAGAGCCAAGTATGCCATGTATGTGAGCTGTTGGCCTTATCCAGACCTGCCTGTCCTAGTGATTATCTGCTGCACTAAGGTATGACCAAGGAGACTTCCAAGGACAGCACAAGTACAGGGTGTCCCTCTCAAGTGATTTACTGTCCTGGAACATGCAAGTCTACTCAGTGTTTCTGTTAGCCCTGTTCCTTGCCGTCCTCAGGTAACCTCTCAATCATGCTTATGCAATAATATATAATGAACTCACTTGACTGGCCATTTGACTCATTCAGTCAATAAAATGTGAGCAAAATTGACAGACAGACCCTTAAAGAGCCACTGTGCATCTTTGTATATCCTCTTCCTCCATGTTACTAAGCCTTAAATACAGAAAGCTACTTTCCCATATCCCAAATATTTTATGTTCTGTTTAAATATTAAAAACTCTGTCATGATTCCTTAATTATTTATGTAAATCAGAAATTATTTTCAAATGAATCCAGCATCTTCTGTGTTGTGTTTTTTCTCAGATGTTCAAATGTAGGTTTGAATTATCTTTTCAAATATGTATTTTCTTTTTTTTTAATTAAGATTTATTTATTTATAAATACAATAGCTGGGGCACAGGCCAGAGGTATGGGGGCTGAGAGGATTCACCAGAGACAAAGTGGGGAGCAGAACAGGCAGATCGACTGAAATACATTGCTGAGGAGAGCAGCGGGCGAATCAGGAGAGGTCTGCTGCGCCATGTGGGATGCTCCTGGCTGGTCAGTGATCGAACTCATGCTGCATGGCTGTGGATAGCTTCATAGGTTGTGTCTTATCCCCTTGTGCCACCAGGGAGGCCCCTCAAATATTTATTTTCATTTTGTACTATTAACTACTGCTTTTAAAATACTGATTTGGTTTTCTTTTCAAGTATTTTTTTTTTTTTTTTTATGTTTGCCTAACTGTGAGCTCAATGGTCTCTCTCCAATGTGGATGTCAAAGTATACAGGGATCTATAAAGTTATATAGATATTTATTTAACAACTCACAAAGCTAATATATTCAAATTGTGGTAACACAGTCACTTCTTTTTTATAAAGATGTATGTATGTATGTATGTATGTATGTATGTATGTATGTATGCATTCATATAAGAACTAGGGTCTAGACCAGAGGTGTGGTGGGTGAGAAGATTCACCAGAGACAGGGTGGGAAGCAGAACAGGTGGATCTACTGAAATACACTGCTGAAGGGAGCAGCAGGAGAGACAGGAGAGGTGTACTGTGCCATGAGGGTTAGATCCCTGGCCGGGGATCAAGCTCAGGGCACAGTGGTTAAGCCTGATAGCACTGAGACTTAGAGACATAACCCCTATGCCATCAGGGAGGTCCAACTGGCTTCCAATTGCTGAGCATTCCCATCATCATTCTTACTGACATTTTATGTAATCAATTTCTTACAATATATATCAATATATATATATATATATATATATATTTATGTTCAAGTACATCCAACACAGAAAACACAACCTGCTGATCCACATGTCAATTACAAGTAAATCCTTGCTGTATTAAATTACTAATATTTGGGGATTTACTAACTATTGTTGCATAACCTATCCGATAATGGGTGATACTATGGGGGACAATAAATTTTTCAGATGATACAAATAACATTAGTTTTATTCCTCGATGATCTTAATGGATGTATGGAGAAACATGATAACATGTGGGAAGAGAAAACTTGTATATTCCTTTAATAAACTTAGAAAATAATCATTAAAACATTAGCAAGTGAATGTATCCCCTAATCACTTTAATATATTTATAATACAATTTTGGTATTTATAGCACATATAAATGACAATATTTTTGCCATGTAAGGGAAACTGAAATATTTCTAATGATCTCATCCTCCATACTCCCATCAACTCCTCTTCTCTTTTCAAAAAAACATATATTTCACTCATTTTATGGTATTCAAAGAACACTTTCTTCGTATATATTTTTGAGTGAAAATTTTCTGTTTCTTTTGTAATACCAATGTGGATTTTCAAAACTGACACTGCTTTATTTATATAGACAGATATTTGAAGAGGGTATAAATATAAATGAGAAATTTAATAATAAAAATTTCTGAGTAAATATTTTTGGTTTTATCATTGGTTCCTTGGTGATGAATGTGGTGTAGTAGTATGTTATATGCAATCTTGTAAATCAAAGTTTCTCTATTGACAACAAGTAAATAAAAGTTAAAATAAATGTTTTAAAAGACTGAAAATTTTAGTGAAAGCTCTTCATTTGTCAAAGCATAAGTGAGGATCTAATTATAGCACCAAACCTTTTATCCAATGGCCTATTCAGATAACACCAAAATTCATAAAAGAAAGATTTTGATAAATAATCTTAATAATGCCATTATTTATTAAATTACATTAATCATATCTACACAATCCTAATCAGGTATCTCTCCCAGAAAATGCTTGAATTTCATTCATATATTTCCTATACATTGCTATACATGTATACAATTGAATTACATTAAAAAGTTTCCTATGCAATTCTTAATTGAAATGTTCTTTTCATGATTTTCTTGATGGCACACTTTATATGTTCATTTCTAAGACTATAGATAATAGGATTGAAAAGTGGGGGAATTATGGAATAGAAAACAGAAAGGACCATGTCTTGGACTGTGGCAGTGATTGCAGATGGCCTTAAGTACACATAAAAGCCTGAGCTGAGGAAGATAGATACCACAAGGATGTGGGGGATACAGGTAGAAAAAGCCTTTGTTCTGTCTGCTCCACTAGGAAACTTGAACACAGTAGAAATTATATGAATGTAAGACCTGATGATAAAGATGAAACAGCCACCACCAATACCCAAACCAGAGGCAACAACAAGCATCTCATTGCTGAAGGTGTCAGAGCAGGATAGCTTCAGAAGAGAGGGGATGTCACAGAAGAACTGATGAATGACATTGGACTGACAAAAGGGCAGCCGGAACGTGTTGCCAGTGTGCACACCTGCATAGATAAGACCACTGAGTATAGAGGCTAGTGTCAACTGAATGCAGATTTGAGGGCTCATGATTACAGTGTAGTGGAGAGGCTGGCAGATGGCCACATAGCGATCACGGGCCATAATGGTAAGAAACAGAAGCTCCACATATACAAAGAAAACCACTAAAAAAACCTGAGCTATACATCCAGCCTTTGAAATGGTGCTGCTGTCAAGTATGGAATTGATGCATGAATTTGGAACTGTTGCAGAAATGTAGCATGCATCCAAGATAGACAGATTTCTCAGGAAGAAGTACATGGGTGTATGAAGACTCCTGTCCAGGGTGATCACAGTAACGATGAGAATGTTCCCCGTTACTGTCATAAAATACATCAAAGAAAATGATATGGCATGCAAAACCCGTAGTTCCCATACATCAGAAAGTTCCATGAGGATAAATTCCATTATGGTGGTGTAATTGGGCATTTGTTGGAGATACAACTTGTACCTGCAAAATAAATAGAAAGATCCTGAATCCGTGAGAATCAAATCATGGGAAGATGCTTCTTAATTATACTTCAGTCTTGATCTCTGCCTACTCTAATTTATATTGACATCCATATATGTGAGAGAAAATTAATTGACCCTCTATCATTCTATATGATACTTTTGTTTCACCTATTGTACTAAAGGAGTAACAATCACAATCTAATTGCTCAACAACATACATAATTCAATGTGTATTATTTCCATTGAAGAATGCAATTTTCTCAGTACCAATTTAACTAGTATAGATACAATTATATATACTTATTGATGTAAATGTATTTGCATTTGAAATGAATTTTAGTGATAATATTTTCAAATAGGATAACTAGGATAAAATATTTTCATTGTTTTCCAATCTTACATTTCTATTTCAGGGTACAGACAAAATTGGGGGAAGGAATCTCATTTCTAGAGCTAGTGTTTTATGCGATAGTGTCAAAACTATCTTTCGTTCCTGTGACATAAAATATTCAGATAATTTGGAACTTTATTTTAATTCCTCACTTGAATCACAATCTCATTACTTGATACATTTACCTAACTAAAATTAGATGCAGTTTTCTAATATTTTTTATACTTCTATTCTTTTAAAATCATCCATCTCTTTTTTTTAAAAGAGAAGATAAATAAATCAAGTATTATTTCCTTCAGAGTATAACCCTAATATTGCATAGTATTTTCAACTTTTTAAAACTTGATTGATTCTACCAGCTGAAAAAGAGAAACGACAAAACTAAAGCATCTTACCATATAATACTAATTTACCTTCATTCTGTTAATTTACTAATTTTGATTTTTCTCAGTTTAATATTCAGCTTCTTCAACAAATCTAAACATCCTTTGTTTCTACATCACCTAACAAGTAATGGATGGTTGCCAACATATCTTTATTGCTTATGTCTTCAGTTCTCAGGTGTTTGGTTTATTCACTAGTGAATACAATACACATATTTCATCTTGTCATACCTATGCTACCTTTATCTCCAGGTCTGCTCTTGTGTATTAACAACTATTTTTTCTAATTTAGTAATAATGATAATAATAATCAATACACATATTTCATCTTGTCATACCTATGCTACCTTTATCTCCAGGTCTGCTCTTGTGTATTAACAACTATTTTTTCTAATTTAGTAATAATGATAATAATAATCAACTCTGACAACTGCAGTAATGAGCAGCTTACCCGTCCCAGTTAAACTACCTTTTTGCCACACTTTATTTGAAATTAATGTTGTGGAATTCTGCTCAAAGTCTTACAACTCAGACACATTCACATGGGCCATTTCCCTCAGGCATTTGTTTGTAGTCAAAATGACTTATTTTTTTTTTATCAGATCCATTTTATGAACTGTTTCAAAACTGCTTCATGTTAAAAAGAAATTGTGTAGATGTTTGTCCTACCTTATTTTATTTTTGTTGTTATTTATAAGTTCCTCAAGGATATTTTAATAAAGAAGATGTTATATTACTAATGTATTCTTGGCACTAGTTCTCTATCTATGTGTAATCTCAAGTACAGAAAAGAAAATGTCATTCTCAAGATCAAGATTTCTACAGGTTTAATGATTAATGTTTGAACTACAAAAATCTTATGTTCTGGACATTTTTGAGGCTATTTGGATACAGAAAAAATATTTGCAAGGAGTAAGAATGTGACTTTGATTCCACTTACCTTAATCATAGTACTGGTTCTCATTAATGTGTGAAATAAGCATTTCAAACTGTGGACTCATTCTCTGTATCTTTATTAAACCAGGGAGAAAGTGCTCTCTCTCTCAGCATTTTATCAGAGTTATAGCACACTTACAAAAGTACCTAGGATACCTAAATTTGCTTTAAACATTCCTTGCTAACATTTTAAAAAAAATATTTATATTGTTTCTGTTTCATTATTTGCAAGTTTTATACAACTCCTAGATACTTTATAAATAATGTTATACATCAATTCTAAATCTTTCGTGCCTCCCTGGTGGCGCAGTGTTTGAGCACTGGGTTGCAAAGCTGCAGGCAGACTCTGCAGCACTGATTGGATCCTGGGCCACCAGCAAGGGTCCCACATGGCGCACAGACCACTCCTGCCGCCCGCTGCTCCCCTCAGCAGTGTACTTCGGTCCTTCTGCCTGCTCTGCTCCCCGCTCTGGCTCTGGTGAATTCTCTCACCCTCCCACACTTCTGACTGGACCCAGTGCTTGTATAAATAAATAAATGAATCTTTAAAAAAAATTCTAAATCTTTCAAAGATATTATTGTGTCTCCTTATTACAGACAGCAAAGAATCTGCCCAAGTATTATAGCTGTTGTGTCATCATTACAAACTGAGTTTCATGAGATTCTCACACGTGCTACAGTCTACAGACAGCGGGAAGTCGAGCAATTCAATGCTTGTATAGGTGTGCAAAACAATGTCCTCATTTTTTAATTTTTTTAAAGATTTATTTATTTATTTATTTATACAAGCACTGGGTACAGTCAGAAGCTTGGGAAGGTGAGAAAATTCACCAGAGCCAGAGCTGGGAGCAGAGCAGGCAGAACGACCGAAGTACACTGCTGAGGGGAGCAGCGGGCGGCAGGAGAGGTCTGTGCGCCATGTGGGACCCTTGCTGGTGGCCCAGGATCCAATCAGTGCTGCAGAGTCTGCGGGCAGCTTCGCAACCCAGCGCTCAACCGCTGTGCCACCAGGGAGGCCCTATTTCAGATAGTTTTAAGTGCCTTTACAAAAATTCAAGCATAATATGTGAAAGTGAGAGTGACAGGAGGATGTAACTGGCTTTGGCGAGGTAACATTTATGGAACTCACTGTTATTTATGGAAACAGGGACACATAGTTTTACTCTTCCTCAACAAACTAATGCTTTCTGATTATCATGTGTAAATGTATTCCCTGTATGTATCTATTGAGCTGACTTAATGAGTAAATTCAGCACTTGATTTCCTAACATGTAATCTGCTCCTTTGTCTGCATGACAAACTGTTTGAGATGGAGTCAATTCTAGTCCTGCAAAAAAGTTAAAAATGGGTTTTGACATGTTGATTCAATGTTGAAGAAATAACTAAGTTTATGACAACAAAAAAACTTTTATGGGTGCCTTGGGGAAGGAAATTCTATGGGGACTCAATCTGAGGGGATGGAGGGAAGCAAATATTGTCTGAAAATTTAAAAAAAATGATAAATGTTAAAATAAAGAAAATAAAAATTAAAAAATAAAAATATTTGGCTGATTTTAGGCTAAATTTTTATTTTTTTTTAAATTTTACTCTTGTTAATAAAAGTCTGAGTTTTTTTTTCTGAAGAAGTTTGCATATATTTGTTTCAGAAAATTTGAAAAAAAAAAATTCCTCCTTTGTTGTGTCTACATTAGGTTAACTTACATTGTTGACATTTTGAGAATTTATATTTTTTAACTTGAGTACTTGTAATGAAGCCACAATTTGTTTCTCTGAACATAATTATTTTCATTGTCCTGCTAGTAGATGACTACACTTAGGGAATTAAGTGTGAATGGCCACACATGATTATATGCAACTAGGGATTATCAAATAAAGCCTGGCGTATACAGAATTCAATTCATATTTCTTTTAAAATTTATTTATTTACAGAAGAACTGGGTACAGGCCAGATGTGCGGGATGGTGAGAGGATTCACCAGAGACAGAGTGGGAAACAGAACAGACAGACTGGCTGAAACACCCTGCTGAAGGGAGCAGCAGGTGAGACAGGAGAGGTCTGCGGCGCCATGTGAATTTCTCCCCGGCCGGCCAGGATCAAACCCACACTGCAGAGGCTGCAGACAGCTTTGCAGTAGCGCTGCACATAACTGCTTGCGACACCAGGGAGGCCCTCAATTCATATTTTTTAACACTGTGTTGTAATTTGCAGATATGCATACATGTGTTTTTATTTTTCAATAAGTTGTAATTTTATCCATAGCTATCATTCTTATATACAAATGCTATCACTCTACATTTTTCTCCTGAAGTTCACAAATACTTAACTAGGTAAAATGTGGATACTAAAAGCATTCGTATATGCACAAGGAATACACATCAAAGTTTTTCTGAATTAGTTATTAACTATTGTTAATAACTATTGTTTTCAACTTTACGTGAATTCAGACTTATAATTTGTTTGATTTTTCATTGAAATGTTAAATAGGTCAGTTTAGAATGTATAGGCAGTTTTCTATTCAATTCTACATTTTGGGTTTTTTGTTGTTGTTTTTCATAGTTTTTTTAAAAATAAAATATTGAGTTAATATTGTTTTACATTGTTTTTAACCGTAATAGAAGTACGGGATCTCATCCTTCAGGCATTGTTGCCATTGTTCAACCACCACCGAAGAACCATAGTTCACACCATAGACCCTGTGTTCCTTCCTTCTTTGTCTATTCTAACTTTTGTCTTCTGAAATAACATGGAAAGGTACAAAATATGAAAAGTACTTAATAAGAAAGTATACAAATAAATAAATAGGAAAGTACAAAATATGAAAAGTACACAGTAAGAAAGCAGAACAGACTGAACAGAAAGCATCAGATCATTAATATCAATAATAATAACAATAATAGTATAAAATACTCACTATTTTTATACCCTAGAAGGGATCAATTTCATATTTTATAATCTCCCTCATACAAGATGATCAAATGTGGCCAAACCAATTTTTCAAAACATTGGGAAAAAAAACAAGAGTATTATTTCATTTAAAGACTTCAGGAAATCTATTTACATAAGTATATAGCAATTATTACATCACTCTGAGCAAGTCTTTTGAGATAGTAATTTTAAATATCTACAAGTCACCAGAGTCCCGGAAAGAACTCAGGAGAACACGGTCTCTTGACAATAAATGAATTTGAGCCAGTTCAATGATATTGTGGACATTGGTATTATATATCTGGAAATAATAAATACAAGAGTATCAGAAATTCTCAGAT